TTCCAGCGATCCAGTTTCCGAAGTGTCCAACACTGAGCCACTGTGATCCGCTAATCTGTTTCTCCAAGAGATATCTTCCATCATCCATTTCTGTGCGCCGAAATCCTGGGTGCGTCCCAATTTTACACGAAGGTCTGACTAAATGCATTTCACTTTCAACAAACACTGTAAAAATGCTTCTGGCTAAAAAGAATGTAGCCTTCGAAAAGTTGAAATATCGCATTCCAAGTGCTATTTACAAGATAATGACCGCCAAATACTAAAGTAAACTTTATATTAAATATTAAACACAGACGCGCATGCTTGAGGATGCTGTTAAGTTTGTTATACCATCAGCAGCCGTAATGGAGTCGCTCTTACAGCACCGTCTGTGCCTCGCACGCAGAACTAAAGCAGTGCAAAAGGCCATTTCTCTCCTTCGAGTCTGTTGATGCAAAACGAAGTCCTGGAACGTCTGCAGTAGTGGGCGATGGTACAAATTGCGCATTTCCGCAGTTCGTACTAGAAGCTGGATGAAATGACGCAATCCGGTTACCGACTCATTAGGAGGTCAGGCCTACTGGCCAGAGCTTTTGGGACAGGAAACGAACTAAACAAAAAAAGTCTCCCTCTTCGGGCGCACAAAATATATGCGCCCTTCGTAATATTGCTCGCCTCGTCGGTCTTAGTTTTACTGTACTGCAAATATAAGTCTCCGGTCGACAAAACTGATCAGCAGCACACACATTAGGTAGGGCGCACACCGGCATGCGTCAAGACATGTAACAGTCAAGACACGATGTCTGCGACATGCCGCAAAGAAAGGAGCACAGTTGAAACGAATGAGATTATGAACAACGGCCTGAGTCATGATGCTGACGTCAGCTTCATGCTGACGAATCACGAATGAAGAAAGACTGCGTCTTTTGTCTTATGTTTTGATGCTTGTCTCGACGCAGTTGGTGTGCGGCCGCCTTGCATTGCACGGAGTATTTTCCTACGAAAGTTCGTGTCAATTAGAATGGATCGAAGTGACTGGAACGCCTCAGCTAAGCTGCTCACGTAACGAACTGAACAAAGACACAATAAACAGGAACACAGAAACCGTTATAGAAGTTACTAAGTATGTCTCTCTAAAAACAAACGTAGAATGCCTAGAAATAAACGTAGAAGTTACCAAATATGTCTGTCTAGAAATAAACGTAGAAGTTACTGAGGATGTCTCTTGAAATACGAGTAAAAGTAAAAGTTACCAAGGACGTCTGTCTACAAGTAAACGTAGAAGCTACTATGGTTTTCTTTCTAGAATCGTATTAGTTACTAAGGATGCCTGTCTAAGAAGTTCCTAAGAACGTGTGCCTGGAAACAGATGTAAAAAATACTAAGGATGTCTGCCTTGAAATAAATGTAGAAGTTACTAAGGATACAAGTTTATAAATACGTACGTACATGCTGAAGAAACTAACTTCAATGTGGGACAAAATCATGATAATACCACAACAACAAAAACTGAATAGAAATAGAACATACAGGCTTCAGGATGCTCTTCTAAATACGCACTTTTATGAAAACGACATCTGACAACAAAGTGACTTAATCCGTCTTACTTATCAGGTGTAAGTGGTCGAAACTAGCGCCTTCTAAGGGTAGGTAGGATTCTTCCCCCACTGTTGAAGGAAGCGGATCCAGCTTCCAAAACGTCGTATATTTTAAGTATACCTCAGACGATGAAAATATTCGGCATAATACTCGTATGTATATAAAAACACTACTGTTGGTAGATCCATCTACCAGGACAATTAATACTACCTACAACTAGTGTGTGTGCAGGGGCACGCGGTAGCGTGGTTGGTTGAGGCACTGTGCTACAAGCCGTAAGGTGGCGGGATCGAATCCCGATGAGGTGTATTTTTTCAACTGGCCTAATCCTTCAGCCACACTATGGCCCTGGGGTCGACTCAGCCTCTAACCGAAATGAGTACCAGGGATATTCTTGGGGGTAAAGGGCGGCCGGCGCGCAGGGCTGACAACCTCACCGCAATCTATGAGCCGATTGTCTAGATAATGTGAGACCCTCAACGTCTCACAATCCTATGGGCCTCCACGGCCTGTTACAGGGATAACTTTACTTTACTTACTTTACAACTAGAGTGCGCTCTGTCGGAGCACTGTTACCATAATCTCAGGCAGCATCGTTACAATGTTGTTGTACAATGAGATCGTTAAAAAATGCTTTGAAAATGCAGAAGAGTTCAGGCAAAAGGAAAAGCCTACAAACAAACGGATCGGAGCATAATTTTCTCCATAAACTTATTAATTAGTTGCGTATGCCTGTCCGTCAAGTGATTGCATTAAGAATATCGATCTAATGGACAGTAAATGCCCGATTTTTCTGAAACTTTGCATGAAAAGCATGGCTCTGGAGCCTCTCCCCTTGTCACTCTTTAAATCTATATTTAAGAACACCAACATGATCAATAATGTTTGGAAAAGATTTGTTACGGAAAATGACTGTTACCGGAAACTTATGAGAAAACAGAAACTAAGATAGCGAAAATGCGATACATTTCGCTGTGATCATGAATGATGAATCATTCACTGTCTCTTGACAGGTGCAACTGGCATGGAAGTAAAGTAAAAGTAAAGCTATCCCTGTAACAGGCCGTGGAGGTCCATAGGGTTGTGAGATGTTGAGGGAGTGTATGAGATTGTGGACTGGTTTCAAATGGGCCAACCACGACGGGGAGTGGGGGATAACCCGATTGGACGCTTACCACAAATTCGATGTGAAAAATCACCACACAACTGAGCGGTCACTAGATGTTTGTTCCGTGCTTTGTTTAGAACCTCCTCGTTGTGTCTCCTGGGTAAAGCTAACAGGCTCCAGCCATGCTGTCTCTTATTTGGGAACATTCAATTACGTGTCGCCACTTCTAAGAGTATTAGGCGCCCAAACGAGCTTTACAGGGGCAGGGATCAGTAGCGGGCTCTTGCGGCATTGTAGTCAACCTTCAAGTTCAAGAAAAAAGTTGTAAATTTCATCAAGTGTATGCAGTTTAATACCCATCACGGTAGCCGCGGGGTGTAAGGTATGGACTGACTTCGCCCTCTCCAACACTGGAGTCGGGGGTGGATGACATCCCTCAGGTGTGATTCTGCTGCACAGGGTTGGTCATGATCACCGACATGGATGTAGCCGGAACTAGCAATGATAGTTACATATGAATATTCAACGAATACGCAAAAAAGTTACTGAGGAAGCACAGAGACTTATAAACAGCAAGGTAATCTCATAAGCCTCTTTTATTTTTTTTTTCAAAATAAGGAAAATTAGGCTAAAAGTGGATCTTGAAAAACTACGCGTGGGGTGTATGGAATGGTTTCATCTGGCTCAGACATAGGCCAGCGGTGGGCTCTTGTGAACACGGTAACGAGCTTTCGGGTTCCATCAAATGATGGTAATTTCTTAAGTGGCTGAGCAACTGGTGGCTTCTCACGAAAGATCGGGATCCATTGCTAGTGGGGTGGGACTAAGTTCCTTGTACTGCGGCCACATGTGGCATATTGTACCAGCCCCATATGATAGGTGAGGGTGATTGTAGAGCATAGGGTGGAATACAGATTGGCAGGGGAAACCGAAATATTCGAAGAAAACCTGCCCCAGCGCCACTTTGTCCACCACAAATCCCTCTTGACCAGACCCGGGAACGAACCCGGGCCGCCGCGGTGGGAAGCCAGCGACTAACCGCTTGAGCTATGGCGCGGCCCATCCATGGCCTTACTTAATCAACAGGGAAAATTAACGAGGTTTACAATGAGGCAATTGAAAACATGCTTCGTTTATTCTTCCAGTACCCTGATAACGTGAACTAGCTAAGCTGTACATTAGTTAGAGTTCACATTGGTGGGGGGGGGATGTATAATGAAATATGCCTTTCGCTAAGTGCAGCATTGGTCATCACGATGTGCAGGCCTATGAACATTAACAGGTGAATACGAATTCTGAACATTAATCACGAACAGCAACTACCACCTCATCTTCACACAAGCAAGCAATGCCAGATAACACTGATTACTGATGAAACCACTTGACTTGTGGTCAGCAGGGACCGCATCCCCGATGAAGCGCTGTGTCTTACTAGGATTCATTACACTTATGAGCGCGGTACCACGCATAAGACAACGAGGAATCTGGGCACTATTTTAATTTGTTCATGCTGTAACAACCCGCTATATCTGGAGTCCAAACAGAACATGTATCTCACTGCAATAAAATAACTGAACTCTAAAGATCTTAACTAGATTGAGAAAGAATATGTTTACATTAATTATAGCAACAAATGTATACTCAATTTAAAATTCAGCTGTCCCGTCAAACAATAACACCTCCAATATTTCCAATTTGCTCTGACCCGTCAAGTAGCAATACCAGGAGTATCACCAACTTACTCTGTCCCGTCAAGTAGCAGTACCAGGAGTATCACCAATTTACTCTGTCCTGTCAAGTAGCAGTACCAGGAGTATCACCAATTTACTCTGCCCCGTCAAGTAGCAGTACCAGGAGTATCGCCAATTTACTCTGTCCCGTCAAGTAGCAATACCAGGAGTATCACAAATTTACTCTGCCCCATCAAGTAGCAGTACCAGGAGTATCACCAATTTACTCTGTCCCGTCAAGTAGCAGTACCAGGAGTATCACCAATTTACTCTGTCCCGTCTAATAATAACACACCAATGCTAACACTCTCCTGAAAGCGTGTTACGCCTCTGTCCACCCTCTGAGGTATATCCGATAAACGTGTTGTTTCGGGAGTTAGATCTGTGCCTTTCTTCAGGTGAGACTACAATACGAGTCTATGCTAGTATTCTAGCCCCAGCGTTTAGAGCACAATTGCAGTAATTTTGTTCTGTCATAGAGATATAGAACACCGTGTATGAATAAACAGTAAGTAACAAAATGAGGGTGAACAAACAAGGAATTTCTTTCCTACACGGAAGCACAATCACATGAAACTGCTTACCTTCCCGTGCTGCACTGAATTGCCGTTGTACATGCGCTCCGAGCTACCCCGGAGCAGCTCTGCCAGCAACTCCGGGCGAGGACTGGAGCCTGAGAATCCTTCCAACTGTGACGGGCTTGAGGTGGTCCGCTGGTGACACACAAACTGCTGCTGCTGCTGCTGCTGCTGCGGTTGTTGTTGTTCGTTCTGTGCCTCACCGTGTGGAGCCGAATACGGGATATTGGCGCTCACCTTGCGTTTGGGGGAGGTGCGTGAGGGGGTTGATGCAAGAGAAGAACGCCCATATCCTCCCTTGAGCTGCGAATCATCAAGGGACTGAGTGGTAAGAGCTCTAGGCCGAGAGCTGTCGTTGGCGGCTGGCGAAGACCTGTTGGAATTTGGCGGTGAAGACACGTACTTCTCGAGAAACTCTAACTGAAGTTTCGATATGCGATTAGTCTCTGCTTTACTCATTTCGGCTTCCAGCATTTGTCCGTACGGTCCCCTTAAGGGACGTTTAGAATACCGCCGTGGGGTATGAGGGCTCCTGGATTCGCTCCAAGGACCTCCCCCTGTGCGTCCTTCAGAATCGGACAAATCCGATGGAGCGAAAGGAGACGGCGAAGCAGAGTAATCTCGAATAGCTGGGCATCGTTCACCCTGATCACTCTCTCCTTCGGAAAGCGAATCAGCGCGCATTGGGGTTGGATAATGTCTCGGAACGGCCGTGCTATCGTCCTCCCGTTCCTCAGAACTCTGGTATACCAATTTGGGCTTCTCCAACCAGCGTTCAGATTTAGGCCACTGCCCCTTCGAACAGCCTCCCTCATCGGGGCTCTGTGACTCCTCCTGAGCACTGTCCCACTCTTCTGATCGCTGCCACTGCGGGGACACGATGCTTACTGAATGTGTCGGCGGATTGTCCTCCACATCTGCGGACGACTCTTCAGCCTGAGAGCCGTTGGAGCATTTAGATTTGTCTCCTTCTTCCAATTTCTTACCAGTATCGTCCGTGGAGTTGCACTCAGCCTGAACATTCGGCCAGTCACCACTTGTACACTGAACATCATCTTCAGGCAACGGCTTCACGATTTCTGAAACATCCTTAGTACCAGCTACATCTTGGTCTTCATTATTTGGCCACTGGGTTACATAAATTTCTTGTCCCTTTTCTTGTGGTACACTTAGCTTCCCTGTGTCCTCATCTGGCAATGTTGTGTCACAACATACATTCAGACACTCCGGCAATTCACTGGTATTTTCTTGGCAACTGCTCAGTGATTCCTCCAACGCAGGCCGATTTTCCACTTTAACAGCGTCTGACAAATTAGCATCACTCGGTAAATGCATTATTTTGTCTTCTTCACTCGTTCGGACACAGTACTTATCTTCGGTTTGACTAGTATTTTGTGTGTCATGTTGTACGTGTAAGCTTTCTGGTGCACTATGTCCATATGGATCCAGAAGTACAGGAGATGAAGATAACTCCGCTTCTGGTTTTTCGTCACACGTGCGTTGAGAATCGTCGTGACACGAAGAACAAACTACCAGCTGACCGAGGCACACAGGAGGGTTGCAAGTCAGGTGGCATTCCTCTGCTTTTCTCCAGTCGTGATCAACATCAGCTTCTGGTAATGGCTGTGCTCCTTCTGCATCCTCCTGACTGTACGATGACTGCTGGCTGTCTGCCAAGGAGGTTTCACTCTCTTCTTGAACCTCTTGCAGCTCCCTGCCCCCAGTCACATACTGTAAACTCTTCAGTCCATTTCCATCAATTGAACTGAACGGGATATCATCATCTGGCCGAGATCGTCTCGGAAGAGGATACGTCAGTGATCGTGAGCCAGGAGCTTTGTGCGCAGAATCAGATGTATCAGTACTCTTGTTAACAATGGGAATCTTCGACACAACTGTAGTCACATAACCCTCGTCTGAACCGACGGCAGAATCGACGGATGGTGTAGAGCCTCCAGGTTCCTCCGAGCACAGAGCCGGAACGTCAGGTAACTTCTTGCGTGGCAAAGTGAGCGAACCCCCTGCGATCACAGATGTGGCAGACAGTGGAAGAGTAGTAGCAGCCCCTGCTGGGTTCGGAAAATTCGAAAATGGGCTACTTTTTGTATTACTACGAGTGTATTTACCGTCAGCTGATGAGAAGTCCACTTGAGAAAAAGACGCGCTGCGGAAAGGAATTGTGCGTTGTGCGTAAGATCCGACAATAGGTCGCGATTCCGGTTTGGTAAGTCTTATGGTAACACAGTCAAAAATGTCATCGTCCTTCATACTGGCACTGCACTCGTCTGTCGTATCGCCACTCCGAGCTGTTGGACTTTCCTTGACACCAACACCAGATTTTCCGGAACCACCGTCAAAAGGAACAACACTTCGATCAGCTGGGACACTACTGTGCTGCTCTCTAGCGGCAGGTGCAATTTGATGCCTAGTGGATGAACTGCCGCCCTTGAGTCGCTCAGTGAGTTCGCGCAAGCGCTCTGTTTTGTCGCTGCTCCGTGAGGCTGCCTTCTTCTTTCCTTTGCTTCCTCCCCCGCTTTCACTACCATGTTCCCCACCGCCCCCACCGAAGCGGAATTTATGCAGACGGTCCAGGGTGTTCCTGCGCACGTTGCTGCCGTCTTCCTCGTCAGCCAGATTGTCTCCGGAGCCGGCGGTGGTGATGAGGTGACAGGCGTCGCTGTCCGAAGACGCAGAGTTGCAGAGTTTCAGGTACGCAGGTATGTCAGGTTTGGGGCGAACCAGTATCCGGCGGCGAGGCTGCATTCTCCTCACTCCTCCATCCTCGAGCTGCGAAGTGCTTCCACTGGCAGGCCCGCGGGCCAGCTCGCCACTATTTATGCGGCTAAACATGCCGCCACGTCTATTCATAGCCTCGAAGGGAAGCGGGATCCGGGAAGAAGAGAAGGAGCGCCACGGCAACGGGACGACGCCACAGCAGCACTCTTCTTCGTCGCGGTGCTGACGGCGAATGTTGTTCGCGGCGTCCTCGCGAGGTGGCACCTCTTCCCGCTCATTTGAAACTGGCGTCTCGGCTGCGGCGGAAGCAAAGCGCACTCCGTACCGCATGGAGCCAATGGTGACATAGCCGGCGGGAGACGAGGCCCTGAAGCAAAACCAGACACGAAGAATCGTTTGAAATAAAGACATGTTTCTTTTACGTATTCCCAGCAATAAAATATTTAACAGGGACCGCGTCTGAGCTTATTTAACGCGAACCCCAGTGTGACAGATTTAATGGAAGAAATGTCTCTAACACACGGACTGTAAAAAATATGTACATATGTAAAATAGCTTCCAAATACAGGATTAAAAGAGTTCTAGATCTGAAGAAAGCAGTCTTCTGGGATTTGGCGCCGTGTATATGTGGTGTTAACCGACGTTTCGGAGGAACGTATCGCCTCCATCTTGAGGGTAGAAGGAAAAATATAAAAAATCCGCAGACGAAGAGACCGTGAGAACCGGTACACGCAGACTGGTGTTGGAAATGTACACAGCTGTATATTTCCAACACCAATCTGCTTGTACCGGTGTTTGAAATATACAGCTGTGTATATTTCCAACACCAGTCTGCCTGTACCGGTTCTCACGGTCTCTTCGCCTGCGGATTTATTATATTTTTCCTTCTACCCTGAAGATGGAGGCGATACGTTCCTCCGAAACGTCGGTTAACACCACATATACACGGTGCCAAATCCCAGAAGACTGCTTTCCTTATAGTCACCGCCGTGAAAACCTCAAATCTTACATAGTTCTAGATCCATTCAATACTTCTCGTTTATCTTTCAATCAAAATATCTGCATCTCAAATTGAATTTGCGCGAATATAATTTGCAGTCAATTTTTCTGGAGATACTTGGAGGGTGAGCCGAGCTAATTATATTCTTACAGAAGCTGTCTGTTTGAAATTCTGTTTTACAGCGGTTTCATGTCCGCGTATAACATACCACAATTTTTAAATACTACCTTGAACTTTCTAGATGTACTGAGAAAACCACGATATACCTCAGTCGGAGTACATATCCGATCCTCCGGAATACGAAGCAGGACCGCGACGTTCCGTATCAACTACTAATTCTCTGGTCAACTGTTCTGACAGACTTGTAGAAGCGCAGTCGGAATAGTGACGGTCTACAGGGTGGACAGCAGGGGTTCGATTCCCTGCAGGGGCAAGATTTTAATCTTCTGTATAGCGTCCAGATCGGCTCTGGGGCCCACCCACCCTCCTGTCCAATGGGTACCGGAGACCCCTTCTTCACGGGTAAAGTGTAAAGTGGCCTGGGCTTGAAGATGACCTTTCACCTCCATCCAGTGCCGAGGTAACGAATACGTGGAGCTATACCTCCACTCATACGTTTTCACGGCAGGGTGCGTAATTAAACTAAGCACAGGGACAACTTTAGCTCGCCTCACATTTATCCCCTCTTGGAAAAATATCCTAGCAGTGCCCATGTGCACACCTGTAAAAATTTATGACTTGCAATTTGATTTATATATGTATAAAGGTAAAAGAAAACTATCACTGTAACGGTCCGTGGACGCCCATGGGGTTGTGAGACGTCGAGGCTCCCAAATTTTCTAGACATTCTAGACAGATGGCGGTGAGGTTGTCAGCCTTAGACGCCGGCCGCCCTTTACCACCTGGGAGATCCCTGGTACTCATTTCTGTTACAGGTTGAGTAGACCCCAGGCCCACAGTGCGGCTGGAAGGATTAGGTCAACTGAAAAATCCAATGACCTCATCGGGAATCGAACCCGCGGCCTTCCGGCTTGCAGCATAGCCCCTCAACCAACTACGGTACCGCGTGCACCCCCCCCCAATTTATGTACATATACGTATACATATGTGGTGCACAATAGGCATTTCTTTCCTCTATATGTAGTGAGTGGGGGCACGCGGCAGCATAGTTGACTAAGGCACTATGCTACAAGCCGGAAGGTCGCGGGTTCAAGTCCCGATGAGGTCATTGGACTTTTTCAATTGACCTAATCCTTCCGGCCGCACTATGGCCCTGGGGTCGACTGAGCCTCTAACAGAAATGAGTACCAGGAATTAATTAAAGAATATTCCTGGGGAGTAAAGCGCGGCCGGCGCGTAAGGCTGACAACCTTACCGCCATCTTTGAGCCGATTGTCTAGATAATGTGGGGCCCGCAACGTCTCACAACCTTATGGGCCTTCACGGCCTGGTACAGGGATAGCTTTACTTTTTTATATGTACTGAGTAGCTGTGTAATGTGGAAACCTGTCCCAAACAGAACAAACATTCATGTCCTTTTGAATTCCATTCTAAGCCGGTTTTATGTTGCACCAATCCTTGCAGTACATATTTTTTCACTAGTGTGAAAATGAATACAAACCAGTTTCATACTGTAACGGAGCGAGGGTTATGTGACATTACCACCTCCCACGACGTGTCTCAGGCAACCTTGTACGCAGCCCTTTGACACTACTGGAATACGTACAAACTTCCTTTGCTTGGATTTTTACAGGCCTGAAATAGCCTGGATGAAGACGATCTCAAAACATTACATCTTCTTTGATCACAGTCATGATAATAATTGATTCACTTCACTTCTCTGAAGTAGTTAAAGGTTAAGACATATTATTTACTTTACAAAACCAGTATTATCAGTGAAGTATCAAAACATACTAATATCAGGCAAAACAGTCTAATATCTTGTAAGATTTGAGGCTTTCACGGCGGTGACTATGAAGAAAGCAGTCTTCTGGGATTTGGCACCGTGTATATGTGGTGTTAACCGACGTTTCGGAGGAACGTCGGTTAACACCACATATACACGGTGCCAAATCCCAGAAGACTGCTTTCTTCAGTGTAATATCTTGTTTTATATCTCTTTCTGTATCACCCTCATATCGTAAGTGCTTCTTAATTATGTCAATGAGATTAGAATTACTAATTTTGGTTTTATTTTAGTTGTACATTTTCATTTATATAATTTTATATATATATATATATTATTTTCTTTGTGGTATGAATCCTGTTGTATGTCACAAAATAGCGTTAAAAGGGCGGGCTACACAACAATAATATCCACAAAGGTTAGGTAAAAGTTAAAAGTGTCCCAGTGCTTAACTAATTAAGCATTACGCCATGAAGGCGTACGGGGGAGTGATGTATAGATCCATTTATTGACCTCGGTACTAGGTGGTGAGTTGGTGAGTGATCAGCTTCACGCCCCTGCCGCTTTACCCCCGGGAAAAGAGCCCACCATACTCATTGGATACGAGGCAGGGTGGGCCCCAGAGCCGGTCTGGACGAAGCGGGGAAGAGAAAATTCTTGACCCTACCGGGACTCGAACTCCAATCCCTCGGTCGTCCAGCTTTTTGCCTGTCGATATATCGACTGCGCTATCCCGGCTCCGAATAATATCCAGAGACAAAAACAAATCGACACTAATGTATCAACATTTGTTTAGTGCCCAATAAACGAATGTTGATACGGTTAGTGTCGACTTGTTTTTGTTTTTGGATATTATTGCTGTGTGGGCCTTATTTACGCTATAGATTATTTTCACTGCTGTGTTTTTTATGCTTCTGAATGATCACTGAGGTTACTGATTTTGGTTTCAGCAATTTAAAATACAGTAATAACTACTTTCAAAATTGAAAAAAGGAATAATGTTAGGGGTTTGTATTTTTCCTTGTCTTTTAAACCCTTAATGTTTCTTACAGAGTGTTCGCACTTGGTCCATTCTTAACAATTTGTAATTTATTTCATTTATACGTTTTTTTTTACTTTCTTCTTTTTGTTGGAGAACTTTAAGCCACACACTTAGTTGTGATTATATTGTCTATGGTTTAATTTCATTAAGTACTTGTATGCTGAAATTGTTGAGGTATACACTTATTTAACTTTAAGTTTTACAGTTAAAATGTATTTCTATTAATTTGTGCATTCAGAAGTTAAACAGATTTTGGCCACTAAAATGGTAAATTAGCAGCTTTCACTTAAACTACATATTTCCTTAAACAAAACTAAGTCCATGGAGGTCCTTCTCGAGAAGCTAACAGTTACTTCAGTAAATCGAGTAATTCCCTGATTTTTATGGAAACAAAGTTTCATTGCCACGTTCACAAGAACTACCACTGATCCCTATCCAAACCCAGATAAATCCAATCCCTACCCTCATGCCCCACAGATCCATACAAATATCATCTTCCCACCCACGTCCTGGCCTTCCAAATGGTCTCTTTCCTTCAGGCTTTCCAACCAATCTTCTGTATGCATTTATCATCCCCCCATGTATACTACACACTCTGTCAATCTCACCCCCATAATTTTACCATATTAATATTTGTGGGGAGTAAAAGTAAAATCAATAAACTTTTATATACAGAATTAACAACTCCTATCATTTTTAAGCCAATGGTGGTTCACTCCACTTCCTACAGTAAAACATAGGGAGAGTACATTAAAACATGTCATGGCTGCTTCCTTCCTGAAGAAGTCTCATTTGATACTACAAAGCCCTTGCTGTCGAAAGAACGTTGTTAAAAAGTTAATAGAGTCCGTCGAGTGTAACAATTTGTAGGTCACTTTTTATTATTATTTCTGCCTTACATGTTTCGGTTTGACACAACCATCATCAGAGGCACTTCCTATAATTATGGAAACACTGTCGCTGTCAACACGTCAACATATCATAGCAGCGTCCGCACGACAAACATAATTGTGAACATCAAAAAAACAGCGACAGTGTTTCCATAATTATAGGAAGTGCCTCTGATGATGGTTGTGTCAAACCGAAACATGTAAGGCAGAAATAATAATAAAAAGTGACCTACAAATTGTTACACTCGACGGACTCTCTATTAACTTTGTGATTGATAGTGTAACGGACCAAAATGAAACAATTCAAAAAAACGTCGTTAAAAATTCGAAAAAAAAAACGGCCGTTTAAGTGTCCCAGAGCTCTCCAAACTAGTGGTCCGAGAAAAAATTTAAATGCCTTGTTTCCATCTTCAGAGTCATTATCTTTTATTTATGCACAACTAAACGTTTTATTTACAACGCAAAATCGTGGTATTATTTTCAATTTAAAATTCTCAGGAAGTATAACTGCTGACTAAATTCAAATTTCTTAAAATGTTTCATTTAATTTCGGGCGATCCGCCAAAGAAAATTCACGCAATATATGGTCCGTGGTCCAAAAAGAGTTTGGGAAATCCCCTGTAAACATACCTGAGCTACTCTTGGCGCGAGATTGGCCCTTTCAGCATAACGAAACACGGCGCTATTACGAGACGCTTAGCGACCTTGCTGACTTGGGTTTCGAATGCTTCCTTTGCCAGCTTTCCCACTTCATAATGAATCTTCGCACCTCGGCAGACGATGCTATATCGTTACATAAATTTCATCAGGCACATTCATCTTGCTTCTCCCATCTCAGTAATTGTCATGTATACAGGCTTTCAGTCTCGACATTCTGTTTCCCAATCCAACATAATGCTGGGCACAAAACTAATACATAATCATGTTTACCTACACATAATGCCGGAATAACTGGGAAAGATATTAAAAAAGCAATTCTATACTTGCAGAACGACCGGCTGGGACCTTCAACACGCCCTTACCTTGCTGATCCACTGTGCAGTCGGCCACCAGAAGTCCCTGTTGTGCCATCTTTTGATAGCGGGAATGTACTAGCACGAGGTGAAGTCGATACTGGTCGCGGCAGTCGATAGCGTGGATGGAGATTCGCATTGCTGTTGCTGTTGTCCCACGACATTTCTGTCAGCTAAGAGGACATTCCAACGAATCAGGTCACGGCACTCCGAGACAGTGTGGCCGTCATCATTAAACCATCGGCACTACACACGGAGATACGGCGCACATTCCTGCCAAACCTGTCAATCTGTCTCACTGTTTCACCATTGGAACTTGCTTCCCATATTTGGTACTGGCTACAAACTCGAATGAAAATATGGTGGAATTACCACCATTTATTTAACCACCTGAAAGCCTTATGAGACTGCACTGTATATCTGTTCAATTCGTGTTCACATGTCACATTACTTCAGGCTATTAGTCGGATTCTCCACTGGCCAGCTAAGCAAAAGCAGTGCCACAACCCAAACGTCCAACCACCACAATACTATAGCAGGCATCTACTATTAGTGGCTTGGCCGTGTACCGCATGGCAGCACTGAGGTAAGAACTTCTCCCCCCTCGTCACTCCACTGTCCCATCACTTGGCACTGACTCACACACATACATACACACACGCGTTTGGTCTCGCCTCAGGATATTTTGTTCGTCTTACATATCGACAAATATGTGTCTAGCTCCTTCATTAGAACATCGAGATTGTAGTAAATGTCCTGGTATCAGACAAAACAGAAGGTCAAAGTACTTGGATCAACCAAAACAGGTGGTTGTTGTCACCTTGTAGAAACAATTCTTGTAGGTGGGTTGCAACTTTCGATCCGACTGCTTACGGGATTGTTGGCACAAAGACACGTACATTCCATCCGCGACAGCAGCAGAGTTATTTCGCTACACTGTGTATATGCGTGTGTCGGTTTCAGCCAGGTTTCTAGTCTGTGTTCACAAGATGCTGCACGCTTGAAAAGAAAGTCCCCTCATTTTACGACATCAAACCCTGTTGCCACGTTTTCTGTACATCTTACAAGGCAGCCTCTGTAATCTTCCTTAATTCGATTTGATTGGCTTCATTGTGTGTGAGTACACGTCCTCTTGATTAAAATTAAGAGCCTGTTGCATTAGCGCCTTATGGTTGCCACGCTCACTGTATGCTACACACCGCGGGCTCTCTTCCTGGGGGTAAAGCAGCCGGGGCGTGAAGTTAACCACTCGTCCCCCCCCCCCATCTAATGTCGAGCTCCAGCATGATCTAGCTATACCTTCACTCCCCATACGTCTTCATGATGTGGTGCTTAATTAAGCACAGCGGCAACTGTAACGTAAATTAAACTCCATGGAGCTGAGCCCTTCTCGAGAAGCCGCCAATTGTGCAGCTAGACAAGAACTTCTCAGTATTTTATGGAACCCGAAGGTTCGTTACCGTGTTCACAAGAGCCCTCCACTGGTCCCTATCCTGGGCCTCATCGAACCAGTCCATACCACCCTATCCTGTCTCTCGAAGATCCATTTTAATATTGTCCACCCACCTACAAATTGGTCTTCCTAGTGGTCTCTTTCCTTCTGGCTTTACCACCAGTATGCATTCCTCTTCTTCCTATTAGTTCTACATGCCTTGCCCATCTCATCCTCATTGACTTGATCAATCTAATTATATTTGGCGAAGAGCAGAAGCAAATGTACACTCTGCTACACGAACTATGTGTTCCTCGCCCTGCATTTCCTGTTGTAGCATCAGCAATATGGCTGTCAATTTAGGGTGTGGTTAGACATTTAACGAAGCTGTCTCAACTGCAGTCCTTACGTAGCGTTAGGACGAGATTCGAGATTTTCATGGCGGTCAATACTTGTATTAGTTACAGTCTTTTTCTTCTTGCGGATTATTTTTACGGCGCCATCAGTACCTGGGCTATATAGCGTTGATGAATCATGAGTCGGAGAGGATGTGGAAGGAAGCGGTCGTGATCTAATCGAGGTACTAGCCAGGCATTTGCCCTGGAGGAAGTGAGGAAAATCACGAAAATCTCAGTTGGTATAACCAGTGCCCCTTCCGAAATTCGAACCGATCGCCTCTAGAATACAAACCTAGATTGTTACCGTTATACCAGACTGCTCAGTCGTTGTAACCGAAATGGTGAAAGCTGCAGTCGCTGTCGGATATCCTAAGGCTTTTCATGATTTTCCTTAGCCTCTACAGGAAAATTCAGGGGTAGACCACAATCGCTACCTTACTTTTTTCTTCAAATGCGTCATTAAAAGTTATGCTATAATTATACGTTACACAACTTAGGCAGTTGAATAAGCATTGTTAAGTAGCATCTCGGATAGAATAATCTGCATTTGGGGAACAGAAAACAAGCCATTAAGCGCTAAGTCTGGTTCTCCTTCACTGCCTCGACACATCACACCTTCAACTACATATATTTACAGCGAAGAATGTTGATTTTGTTTCACGTTATAACTAATTTGTTTAGAATGGGATTGAGACAAACATCTGTCAGCTCTTTTCGTCGAAATCTATGTTTTGGAATTTTCAAAATGTCCAAATGAATCATTTTCCATTGCCGGCAGAGGCAAGAGGTTTTTCTTTATTTCACAGCATCCAGACCGGCACTGGGGCCCACCCAGCATCCTATACTATGGGTGCTGTGTGGGCCGCGCCATAGCTCAAGCGGTTAGTCGCTGGCTTCCCAACGCGGCGGCCCGTGTTCGATCCCGGGTCTAGTCAAGTGGGATTTATGGTGGACAAAGTGGCGCTGGGATGGGTTTTCTCCGAGTACTTCGGTTTCTCCTGCCAATCTTCATTCCACCGAATTCTCCATCATCATAATCACCCTGGGCAGGTATAATAGGCCAATCAGTGGCCGTCGTGCCGAGTGGACCGCCACTAAGCGAATTAAAAAAAAAATAAAAAAAATAATGGGTGCTCTTTCTCCAGGAGTAAAGTGGCCGAGGCGTGAAGCTGACCACTCAACTCCATCTAGCTCTGAGTTCAAGAACTATGCAGCGACATCTCCACTCCCCCATATCTTCATGGTGTAGTGCTTCATTAAGTAGCACAGAGACAGCATCCCCAAACAAACCATATATCTCCCCCTGTGAAACGAGCACTTGTATAAAATCTTGCCTGTGGAAGAAATGACAAATCAAAAATATGTTCAACATTTGATTCAAACCAACTCGAAATTAAAATTAAAAATAGCTATTCTAAAAAAAGTGAAATATATAAGAGATATAAAGAAATATATAATATGTCTGGACAGCAAAATTGTGACAAACAGCAAGGAAAGTCGATGAGATGAAGAAAGTAGTTCTTTTCTAACAGTACAGGACAAAATATGAATTTAAAGCGTTGAGGCACACCGACTCGTGTCACGGCGCACCAACTGAAGAAAAAATGTAGTACGTGTTTATAAAGAAAGTAGTCAGTTCTTGGTGAAAGCGTCAACCATAGCTCTGCTTTGAACTGGAAAGAAAAGGGATAGGGATCAAGTAGAGCCAGGGCTCCTCTCTCGAACATCAGATAGGAATCCTGTGTAGCTGAAGTAGATGCCTAAATAGGCTGTACAATATAAAAATCAGCGACATAAAAACAATGAACATACTGAGTCGAAACATGTGGCTTTGACTGACACATAGAAGGCCATGTTATAAAATTGTGTGTACGAAAATACGATGTAACATTGATACGCGAATTATACTTAACAACGTGTACTGAAGAGAAAACTATAAGGGAAGCTTCTAAATAGAATTTCTTAGATATGCATAAAATTATCACGGTTACTACATGTCTTCATAAAAGTCAAACGTAAACATTGAAATCGACCAATTAAAACTGTTGTTATACTTGTATCAGATCTGCATTGTCTTCTTCTCTCTATTGTGTGCAGCGTATTTGTTTATTGTTAGATTATTTAACGACGCTTTTTCTGCTGAAAACATTATAGTCCTGTAGCATCGGACGATATGGGAAGATGATACTGTAGGATGTGGACCCATTGCTAAGTAATGACTCTGTAAACACCGCCCGTTGCTAGGCAACAGATTCCAAACACGCACTAATGGACTAACTTGGAAGATGTGTTCTCTACGCGGTCCGTGCGACAGCTTCGTGACGCAACAACAGAAGAATTGTTGGAAGTGGTGTGCTGTATGCGGTCCGTGCTGAAGTGTTGTAAGCAGGACAAGTCTAGAGTTGAGTTAGTTTAGAGACAATCGCCGGTGAGTGAGGGCGTGAACACTGAAGTTGAGGAACCTACAGCTTTGAAAGCCGTTACTAGACAACGATTTGTGAAGACACAGCAGACTGAGAAGAATTAGTGCGTGTTGAAGTGAATTGTAAAGTGTGTAAATTAAAGACAGCGCTGTAGTTACTTGTACTTACAATCTGTAAGCGGTCAATAAATCCGGTTACAAATCCAAAGTCCGTCTATAGTCACCCTACCACGTGACTACTGGTGTCAGAAGTGACTGGATTGGAAACTGTATTGGATCGTGACAATATTATCATGATTATTGTCTCCTGAGGTGTGGCGCCCAGTAACCTGGTACCCGTTTACCAGATTACATGGCATTATATACCAGAAGATCAAATCTTCATGGTCACTGCCGTTAGTGCCTGAAATCTCAATTACACCAGCATATTGATTCATGCTGACAGACGTAATTTCAGAACGTCTACCCTAAAGATAGACGTAACAAGTTCACCTGAAGCAATGGCAACAGTCCACCAGACTACGCTGTGTTACCTTTCAGACGATGGAAATTTTTAAAATGCATCAGTGTCAAATTCTCCAATAGTCCTATTAGTTCACATAAAATGATATTTACGGTTCGGATAAAAGAATTTCTTCCTCGATGAAAGTGAAATGAATTTTAAAAGCGACGGTTTGGGACGTTGATGTGGGCTCCCATATTGGAACAGATGTGGAAAATGATACACTGTGAATCTGTCGACACCAGATTACAATTATTTGGAAGGAAGGGAATCACCAAATATGTTGAATATTTGCATTTCATTGCTTCTATAGGTTAGAAACCGTTTGATACATAAATATATATATAATACATATAAAAATAAACATTTTATATATAAACAATGGTTAGTTTCTACTGTATGAAGGCACTAGGGAGATGCTGGTCGGTGTGTACTCCTCTTTTGTAATGTTAGGTTTTTTTTTTCTATTTCGTTGAATAATGGGAATCTAGTTGCAAGCTTAAAAATGACCTAATTTTAATGGGGTAAATGAAGACTATGTTACATAGTGTCTCAGCAAATTAATCGTAGAATTTCATCCATAAGACAAATACTATGTTTACTTCCAAGAGGAACCACTTTAAGAAGATCCGGGGTGCCTTATTCAGGAATATGACCGAGGTTCAACTCCTAGCTGGAGCAGATATTTTTCTTGGTGCCCACCCCCCAAGCCTTTTCAGAACAGTTCTGTGTCCGTGGATTGTCAAAGCTCGAAACTGATCCTTACCTCCTTCTGAAGATCTACGGAAGGGTCAGCACTCTGGTGGTAGGGTCTTCAATTACAACTTCCTCACGTAATGGATCACATTCCATGTTCAAGTGTGTGGTCTTCCTAGCAGTCGTCTTTGAAAAATTCCGAGCTTCAATTGTTCAAAATATTAGCCAATAGTTGAATGTCATTTCAGTTATGCTTCTATATCAGTTAATCAAGAGCATGTGTATATATGTGATTAATTTAGCCTAATTTAGAACTTGGAAAGATAGGTTGCATAAAAAATGTGTTTACACTTCTTGAAGTACTTATCGCTTTATAATATATTTGTGTTTAATTCACAATGAATGTGTGTTTAATGAAATAAGGTTGGCAATTCCGTAGCGGTCTGGGTGCGGTATGTGAATTTAGTAAATAGATTTGTGTTGGCATGAAAAGAGGGCGTTGACTTGCACTACGCAAACTGAAATCATTCGAAGAAATATATTAAATTGGATAAGGTGTGTAACAACGTAATTATATTCAGTTGTTCATTTAAAAAAACTGTGTGTAGTGGCTGCAACAAGGTGCGCATAGATCGTACTCATGTGTATTTTTATTTATGCCTGTAGTAAGATAGTGCCATAAACAGTATTTGTAAACAGTTACCTTATGTTTTGTTATTTGTTTTTCTCGACATCTGCAGTACACAGAGACTAGAATATGGTATCGACGTGCTGTGATATACAGCATGTATGTGTATTTGTAATTAATGCCACAGAATCAGAATTATGTGTAATTATGTACAGTAATGGGTTTATTGCAGTAGTACCAGTTTTCTTCTGTTGTAAGGGTTGACAGAAAGGTTAGGCTTACTTATTGAGCGTACAAGAATCTGTTAGATTTCAATTTTGTTAGGTTAAGATGTTCTAAATTATGTTAACAGTAGGATGCGGTAGACTTTCAGAACAGGAATTACTCAAGTGAAAGTAATGTTTATCATTTTACCTTTGCCTCAGTCCTAATTGTTGAAATTGTGCTATTCATCTAAAACTGTACTTTATTAAATGTTTCAAAATCCATGAAGACAAGCATTGTATCAGGTTTCTGTGATGTGTCATGTTATTTTTATTCACTCCATTTCAAGATGTGAATGTTGTAACAGATGATGTAGTAAATGCCTAATAATTTTCAAATGAACCTACGATGCTCTTGTAATTTATTTCATTTTTGTAGATATTTGTATATTTCCACACCCACTCTGTTCCTCAATGAAGACATCAGAGGTACACTCATTATGTACCTGAAACTTGTTCAAGTCAAGTGCCTGACTAAGGGTTGGTTGAGGGAGATTCGATTCTTGGCAAGGACAGACATTTCTCCCCTCACCTCTATGTCCAGACCCTCTCTATAGTCACCAAGTCTCCTGTTTGATGGCTACAGGAGCCCCATTCGAAGTGTATGATGTCATGAGCGTGCAACTGACTACTAATTTCTGTCTTGTGCTTAAATTCATGCATGAAGCCATACCTGTACTCCTGCTATGCATTTTACATGTACAGTTAATAAGTAAACCCTGTCCATTTCAATAGAAGCCTTGCGACAAAGCTGGGGATTTGAATAATGGGAGCAGAGTTGTGGTGGTAGATGAGTAACTGTTTTGTACATTTGAAGCTTGTAGGCAGCAATGAACCATAATTATTTCTTGGAATTTTATGATGTTAAATATATAAGATATTTTATATTTCTGTTTACTAGTTGGTGACAAGATGGCAGTGCTGCAGACATGTTGGTCTCCATGTATTTGGAATAATAATGTGAAAACTGGAAGCAGAGCTGTTGCATTTTATACCGCGGTGTGTATTTTGATCCTGTTTTTTTTAGTAATCAAAGAAGTGATGAATAAAATTAAAATTATTGGATTTGAGGTTGTCACAGCAGTGACCACGATGAGTTTTGTCATTTGTGTTATAATACTGCGTAGTCTAACGAAAGTCAACCTGTGTTTTGGAGGGACATATTTCCTCCATCTTCAGGTATGAAGGGTAAGACAAGCAAGACACCAGCATGAAGCAGGCAGTAAACTGAGCTCTTTTGTCGGTCATTTCTATCCGGCAGAACAAAACACATCTTTGTGTTGTCAACTGTAGTTGATGAACCTCAAATCCAAGAAGAAAATACGTGACTAACCAACTTCATAATTTCTTCAGCTGTCTTATCTCTTAATTGTTTCATTGTTCGCATAATAATTCTTAATTATGTCTGTTATGTTTGTCTGTGCAGTCATTTAGCGTGGTCTTGATTACATTTATTTCCTACATGATGGCTGGAGGTGAATCTACCCAGCTGTACAGTCCACTTTTTGAAGCAGATATCCGTGGATGTAAGTAACAAATATTCTATGCTCTGTTGGCCTGATGGCCTTAGGCTTCATTTCACAGGCCATTCAGGTTTCTAGGGACTGCTGTACAGGAAAATTCCTCTTAATGGCAGATTTCATTACCAGCGTCAGGGAAGAAAATGAATAGAGGTATCCCTCTCTTTTGGAAGGTAATTTATTCCGTGAAATAAGGTGGAATTCTTAAATTAAAGATTAATTTCCCATTTACTTTAAACATAAAAGTTGCTGACTTACAAACATAAGTTTGTTAAGTGAAAAATAGGTACACATTAACATGCTTTTTTATAGCAAAAAGTTTGCAAATTAAGTTTTTGTAAAACGAAGGATATGTTTAATACTAAATTATAAATTCAAAGGCTAGTCCCATTCACAGACAATAACTGGGATCTGTCTTTAGAGCATGCAGAAACAAATATGAGCATTTGAGAAAAATGTATATTCTGTCTGTGAGTGATGTTACTTCTCAGGAAGGCAGTAATTCAAATTTGTATTTGCTGTAATGGTACTGGATTTTACATGTAAATTGTAAAGTTTCTCAATATGTTAATATTTTCAATTTAGAATTAAAATTAACTTATTTGTTTAGCCCTAGTCGGTATAGCGACTGGCTATGGGCTGGACCAAGTCGTCCAGACCGGCTCTCAGGCCCGCCCAGCCTCCTATTCGATGGGTACTGGGAGTAAAGTGGTCGGGGCGTGAAGCTGACCACTCACCTCCACCCTGTGCCAAGATCAACAAAACGTGGATCTATACATCCACTCCCCCATAAGTGTTCATGTCGTATTGCTTAATTGCTTAAGCAGAGGGACAACTTTACCCTTTTATCTGTTTAACCCTGGTGACTATCATAAGGTTATGGCCACACCATGGCTCAAGCGGTTAGTCGCTGGCTTCCCACCGTGGCGGCCCGGGTTCAGTCCCGGGTCTGGTCAAGTGGGATTTGTGATGGACAATGGCGCTGGGGTGGGATTTCTCCAAGTACTTTGGTTTCCCCTGCCAATCTTCATTCCACCAAATTCATCATCATAATCACCCGGGGCAGGTACAGTAGGCCAATCAGTGGCCGCCGTGCCGACTGGACCCAGTTGGACTCCACCCCCCCACTAAGCGAATTTAAAGAAAAATGATAAGGTTCTGTTAAGTGAACTAATGCAGTATAGTCAGTGTGCAGAGTTGGTGGTGGGATAAATGATTGGACATGCAGTGGACCATTATCGGTAATGGTGCAAGGGCCGACATATCCCGTTTACTAAAACAAAACACTAAACTGTGTTACAGCAATGCAGACTTGGGGTGGCATATTTATAGTCTACTTCCTGCTACTCATAGCTGTCTCCATATTGATGTTGTTTGGCATAGCAAACAGCACTCGAGGTATGATGATACCATGGCTGCTGTTTATGGGCATTGGAATCCTCTTCCAGTTTGTGTTCGGACTTTGGTTGCTTGGAGGCTACTACATATATGTAAGTTTCAGTGTTAACATGCTTCTGCTGTCAGCGCTACTCAGATTACCTGTCTGTGAGACTCTTCATGTTGTTTTTCAAAATTGCCCATCTTCTGGGATGTGTCACTGTGTAGTTTGGTTAACAGTTACAGATGTTTCAGAGGAACTTATTGTTTCCATCTTCAGGGTAGCTGATACTAACAGGTTTCTTCTGAAATTTTGGTTTCTGCCAAACTACATAGTGTCACCTCCGAGAAGACAGTAAGCTTCGTAACCACTACTGTGAGAACTTCATGTGTCACATACTGCTTTTGTTTACGCTGTATGGTATAATACTTACTGTTGTCAGTTCTCACTCATAGTCTAGCGCATGGTTTCTGAAACTGTGGGTTGCAACCCTTAGGCGGTCACACCCTGCTCTAATGGGGGTGCTCAGGTCTTAAGAATTATTTATCTTTGTGCACAGTTTTGGCAAATCAGTATGTCTGTCAGGCTCAATATGGATGTTCTTGAAAAGCATATATACAGCCAGTGGAACATTTTGTGAATCTTTTCATGACTGAACAAGAACATTTTATAGCTTATGGTAGGTGGAGAAGGGTTGTAAAGTACTGTGGGGTCTTGTGTAGTTTTGTCATTACTCCGATGACAGCCCACTTCTTCGGAACAGTTTGTTGGTCCTGAAAAGGACCGTGGTTGCTGAGATGCTTGACCGGTAAGTAGCGCGGCGCGCGCCGGCAGGGAGAGAGGTTAGTTGCGGTGAGTGGACTGGCCGCAGTGCAGCCGTGGCTGGAGGTTGCTTGGTCGCCGTGTGGCAGGCGAGTTGGAGTTGCGTGGCTAATGCTGCGCGGTCGTAGGCTGCTGGTGAAAGGCTAGTCTTTGAGCGCGATCATAGGAGTGATGAGGCAGTGGCTACGCCAGATGCCCAATGAGTCGGACAGGGACACGACCACCGGTGAGTCCAGGCGAGGTGCCCCAGTGAGTCGGGTGTGAGAGAGCCGGAGTGCTGAGGCAGTCGTGCCTGGCGCAGCCTGCTGATGCCTCCAAAGACCGAGCGCTGGCGACAAAGCCTGCTGGCTGATGTTGCTTGGTGTGGCTTGATCGTAGACTGAAGTAAACTGATTTTGCCGGTTCGAGGCTGCTCCTTTTTATACACTGCTTGGTGGGCGGAGCGAAACTCGAAATTGAGGAGGAAGAATTGATTGGCTAGCGCACGTAATGATGTAGATGCGGGCTAGCAGCGAGCACGGTATAAATGCGAACGTTTGGAGCAATTTGATTGGTTAGCGCGCATGATGGTGAAAAGTAATGTGAAGAGTGTGCGTTGCAGAAAATGCGTGATAATGTGGGATGTCCCCACAGTACTATTAAGCTTGCTGGTGTTACTATACATCATGATGAGGACCTCCAACATTGTGCAACATTGTCCAGTGTGTCCAAATACATTATGCTGGTTTCATAGGCCTCTGGTCTAGCAGTCTGGAAAGATGTTTTTGCCTTCATCACGAGAGTGTGGTAACTCACCAGTGGAAAGTAGCGGAATACATTTCTGGAGCCCTGAGTTTAACACAAATATTAATAAACATTTTGCATTATTGCATTTCTGTGTTGTTGGTTTGGCTGTTGGACTGCCATTTTGAAAAGTATTGTTTACATTGTGATCCTATGATATGGATCCATGGCATTATTCATGGTGAGTTTCCTATCAGTGTGAATGGAAATGCAAATTTGAGCTGTGTATGTTTACTGCACTGTTAACACGCTGTGTAATATTTATTTTAATATGTGTTCTAGAGATATTCATGCATATATACCATGTACTATTGTAACTAGAGAGGAGTAATATCAGGTGCTGTGATAACTGTTGAATTATGAATTTGGAAGGATTTGGGAGGAAGCAGTTATGGTCAAATCAAGGTGTTATCATGGCATTTTCCTTGAATGGCTGAGGAAAACCATGAAAACCTCAGTCTGACTAGCCAGTTTCTTGACTGAGACTCAAACAGAACACCTCCCATATGCAGGACTAGAGCGTTACCGCTGCATCACTGTGCATGGTTACGGATGTTCTGTTGGACTACAACATTAAAAGGGTTGAGAAAGAATTATTTTTGTCTTTATCTTTTACATTTTTTTATGGGAATTCATGGTGTGTATTTTTGTGAGGCAAGTGAAGGAAAATGTTGGAAGATATACAATTTGTTTCCTCTTGTTTCAGCTGCAGTCAGTGTTAGCCGCATTGATAGACTGGATATGGATGGCGTACAATGTAAGTAATACAATTGTATGATGTGTGGTTGTTTATATGACAGGGGCTGTTAACACGTTGACTCGGTGTCTATACAGGACACTTGCCTAGCTGTCACAGTCATCTCCACTGTCTCCTGCAGACCCTTCCCTTCACACCATGGGTTGCCTAGTACCAGCCCTACTGTCCAGGTCAAAATTTTATTCCAGAATCTCTTTGAGTGCAGAGCAGGAGTGAAAGTACAAATCTGGAAAGATGGCAAAACTTGTAAATTCTTCATTATGTAGATAGAATTTGTTGTTTTTGTTGTCAACACAAAACAGTGTCTAGCAGATGATTTTGCTGTGCTAGATAACATGTCTTGGCACATATGCCATTTTCACGTCCTGTTTATACTTCCAGTGTTAATGTATTGTACAAACAAACTCAGTGATTTTAGTCCACAAGCGAACTATAACAACCGAGTGACCGCCGCTTGTCGGCGAAGTTTAGTGCCAACTTCTGCAGATAGAGGGTATTCTACACTTAGTGTAAATTTATGCAAGCTAAATGGATCCACCACCATGTTATGTACTATGTATACTATATACCAATGTTTCTCAACCACCATGCCATGGCCCGGTACTGGGCCCTCATCTTATAGAATGTGAATTTACCGGGCCATGGTCTCACAAAGGTTGAGAACCACTGCTATATACTATATTACATATTGACACATTTGTATTGAGAAGGTGTAGGGTTTTGATTGGTTATTGGATTTATTGATCATTTATAAATCTTGACTACAGGTAATTATAGTGCTCTTGCAAATTCACACACTTGACTTCTCACTATGGCACTCACCAAGTCTTCTGTATCCTTACTAACTGTTACCTGGTAACATCCCAGCGGTGTCCTCTTCTGCTCATTGTCGTTACTGGCTAGTAACCATCTTGCACTTCGCCCATTGGTCAATATGTCCCCGCTTAACCCATAACTGACTCCTTACATAACCTCAATGCACACTGCATAGAAGACACCACTTCCAGCTGCTCTCAGCTGTGGCATCACGTTTTCATTGTCACAGAAAAGTATTTACCATGCTGTGGAAATGTGTTTAGTTTGTTGTTGTCTAGCAGTGAATGGTTTCTCTTGTTAAACTATACCATCATCATGTCAGAGTATTACTGTTGATTAAAATTTGTTGTTTATGGTGATTTATAGATCTGTCCATTTCACGTATATCCTTTGTTCCACTGTTCTCACAGGGGCATGCTGGCTTTGAGTTCCTGGTAGACAGTACTGTTTGTGCAGAGTGGGGGCTGGTTTTGGCTGTGTGATGGTTATTCTTATTGGGTTATCTTCATTTTTGGTAACATATGAAAGTACCTGTGTTTACAGAATTATTTTTTACTTGTTTCTATATTCACTTATAGGATTTTTTATGTACTTATTGTGTTATAATTTTGGTGTGTGTAGTACCAACATGCACTAGAAAGCAGCTCTGTGTACTAGTGTGTCATGGAGGGACCAGTGGTTCAGGGTGGAGGGAGGTTGGAGGAAGGGGAATATATTGACTGAGTGAGGGACATTAAATGTTATTCATACTGATTTACACAACAGGATGCAACAAAATATGAGCCTTCATTGTGTTTTTGTTTTATTCCCATCATGCAAAATGTTCATAAAAGAACATGTAACAGGAGCCAGGATGGCACAGTCAATACAGTGTCTGGGTATGTGCTCAAGAACAGGGGTCAGAGTTCAAGTCACAGTAGGGTCAAGAATTTTCTCTCCTCCATGTCCAGCCTTGTATCCGATGGGTACTGGGAACCCTTTCTTGAGGGGTATAGCCACCGGGGAGTGAAACAGACCATTCACCTCCAACTAATGCCAAACGTGGATTGAGACATCTTCCCCTTATGCCTTCATTGCATAGTGCTTAATGAATTAAGCACAACTTCACGACTTTTTAAGAACATGTAATGACATGTCTGTTGAAATGAACTGCTTTGCACTATTCATTGTCTTTTTCCTTTTCTTGCAGGTGTATTGCTGGTTGTGTGTGTACTCTCAGTATCAGGTATTTGAAGAAATGCAATCCCCAAATATTGAACTATTGTACCCGTAATGTGGATGAAACGGATACAGTCATACACAACCCTGACGCTGGTGTTCCGTGTTCGAAGAAGTTAATACTCATGAGGACTTTTTCTGAATGAACTCTTGAACACAGAACATTCTTACTCGAACATAATAATGGTGGTGGTGCTGGGAAATATGGCACCAGTGTATTCATGGTTGAACATGGCAACATAGTGAATCTCAGTATTCAGTTATCGTCACTGTATTCCGTCCAGCCAAACCAAATCAGACTGCATTTTGTTTGGATGCTTTTAAAGAGAGACCTTAACAAAGTATCATTGCTTTTAGCATGTTCCCTTCTTCCTGTTGAAAATGCGACATGATCATATTTGTTTGTACAGAACTTCCGAAGGTCAATCCTGCAGCATGCTTGTTTTACTCAAAAGGCAGTAATTGTAGTCATATTTTTAAATCACCTTGAAATGTCAGTATTTTGTTCACCGAGTTATCTTTGGTGCTAGAAGCTGATTCTCATGTAGACAGTACCTACAGTCATTTGCAGTGAAGGTCTTAAATAATACAAGTAAACACATTTTGCTCAGTGACTTTAGATATTAATTATTGTATAGTGCCTTGAGATACAAGCATGAATTTGCTGATTATTTATTGTCTGTAGCACAATCCTGAAACAGTGTTTCACCTGTACATCACTTGGCCATGAAAGAGTTGACATTCATGTTCTTGTCATTACTTACATCGTATATGAGAAGCCTCATTCACACTCATTGGTTCCAAAAAGAAAATAAGGTAATATTTGTAAGATGTTTGCATGTGTGTTTCCTAATAATAGTATGTTTAATGAAGGGGATGATTTTATAAAACTGGATAAGAATGTAATATTGTTCATAAACTCAATGCTACATTTTAAATCAGTACTTTAAACGGTACTGAGCTGGGATAGCTCAGTCAGTACTGCTATATGTACTGTTTGATTCTACACAGAAACAATTTTTCTTTTCATTATATCCATCTCAACTCTAGAACCCACCCAGCCTCTTATTCAATAAATAGCTGGAGTCCTTTCACCCAGGGTTATAGCAGTTGGTGGGTGATGGTGTCCATTCACATCTGTCTAAATCCATGCTAAGTCGCGGTGCAGGGGGAAACCCACCCCCTCTAATACTGAATACTGAATACTGAAGTCCATGCTAAGAATGTTTAGTGTTCTACCTCCATTTCCCCTGTAAACTATCATATCTTGTTATTACACACAAGAACCATATTTATTTTTTAGGTACCTTTAACAGTTTCATCATCACAATCATACCAACTTTCAGGTCAGGGAATTGTCAGTACTAAGTCCTGTCAGGCCCAGGACATGAAAGTGTGTTTTATAATACTCAAATCTCTTAAAAATATACAGCTTTTATAGAGGTCATTTCTTAACAAGCCAAGTGTCTGTCATCATGCCTCAGTTTTCAGTTTTGCTGTTAATACTGGAGACACTATTTCAGCAATTTTTGTGAAGTTGTATATGACGATCATGTTACTGGACAACTTGCCTTTTTAACTCCCTGGCACCAGTAATACCAACATGATTACTATACATATTTGTGTGAAGGTATAGAATTAGCATATTCACTGTAAATCTTAATGTTTTGTTCTGTGGTGGATCTGAGTAAAATATGTAGATTTTGTGAGGATAATTTTCTTTGTAAAGCAGACTGTGGTGTAAAACATTTCAGTGTGATAACAATAACCAGTGAACTATAGGGTGGCAAAACAGTGATATCACAATATAGGCAGTTCTATCTGTGGTGGATATTCTGAATTTTATCTTTCTCTCTTCATGGAGCACAGAAGATATGAGTCACTCAGCTGGAATAGAGGTTGCCTACCTTTTGTGGATCCATAAGATTCATTCCTGTGTTCATGAGACCTTACTGTTGGACCATGTAGAGATTCATGTGAATCCAGTGCATGTCCTAGTGCCCTGTTTACTTTGCATCAGTTTCAGTAGTATGCTCCCATTTATACCTAGGTCTTCTGAGTTCTCCCTTCCCTTCCCTTCATGTTTTTTTTTTTTTTTTTTTTTTTTTNATCTACATGCTATGAGAACAATTGCTAAGAAGTATCTGTGTACAAGTTTGAATGTGCAGAGTGAAAGGTGGTGAGTGAAGACTGTGAAGAAGAGAATGATTTCCTCCATTTGTGGTACAGTCACACTCGTAGGAAGTTACATGTTGTAACAGCGGTTGCAGTGAAGTTGCAGAGGATATGAAACAGCATACAATAAACAATACACAATCATCTGTTACCAGAAGAGCTAAATGAAAGATCTAACTTGGAAATGAGCCTTTTGTATATGTTGATCATGCATGGATCTCATATTTTACAGATATTTTGAAACATGCTTGAGGCACTGTCTGCTGGTATTTCTCGGTGAGTACATTTTGAGATTTTGAGGTTGATAAAGTGAAATTTTGCTTGGCTGTGTGCATTTGCATATGTGTATATGAAGGGTTGTTGGCATGATCTGTCATGTATGTACACTAAACAAGGTTTATCATACCAGATACTGGCACTTGAAAATTTGTACATATAATTTATTTTCCCAGAATAATTAATGGTTATAGAAGTATATACTAATTTTTTCTGTGTAATTTCTCAAAAGCCTGGAGACAGAAGACTTGGTTTAAGATGTTTACTAGTGATGGGCTTTTCTAATGAGTGTGATGAGATGAAATTTCTTGGTGAGCTGCAAGTCAGCCATGTAGGAAGAGCCTGTTGTATGGTATCAGAAACACTGCTGTACATTGTATGTTTTCCTGTTTGTTATGGTATTCATTCTTTCCCATGTTCACATATCTGTATAATTAGTGCTGGTAATCTCATTAGCCGATATAGGTCATTTATTTTTATTATAAACATTAATATATGTATTGTATTTTAGTTTAATTCATATTATGTTTTCCATTTTGTAATATGGTCCTGTTTCTGTTATGTAATGTTTGAAGTTGGATGGAATCCACATGTCTTCAGATTCTTTGAAACTGATACATGTTGGCATATAATTCCAGCCCGCTTTAGTCATTGTCTCTATGTTTTGTAAGTGGTATCCAAACCTATTGCTCCACAAATTCCTTCCTAGAAAATTCATAATTCCTTGTCTACAGTTTTATTTACAAAAAGACTTTCCACCTTATGTGCCCCCTTCAGCCATATAGCATCCACTTCATCTGGACTATGACCGTGAAGTCTAAGCATTACAAAATATTTCATAAACAGTCCTTTCTAAATCAAATTACATTCTGGGATGAAATAATATATTGTATTTTTTTTTCTGACACAGATGTACAAAATGCATACAGTTGACTTTTCTGAATTTTCTTTTAGGTGATGCCACATATAAAAATGTGATCATTTTCTGAGGGTTTGTGACAGTAGGTGATTAATTACACCACAGTTTTGTTTGATCTCCATAATTTGAATGACACAGTATTAGTGGCAGTGGTTGTTTTTGAACTACTAATGCTCAAATCAGTAGACCTCCAGTGGTTGCTGCTGATATTGTGCAAAAAGGAAATATGTCAGTATAATGATGAACACTTACAGAGTGCCAGTTCATGAAATGTGTAAACTAAATATACCCCAGTCTTTGGACATTATCCAACTTAGTGTTTGTTTGTTGTTTGTGTAGTGCCTCCAGGTATGGTCTGTGTTGGACTGTGTGGCCTCTTCCCACCGAGGCAGGAGTGCAGTATCCATCTGTGAGCTGGGGGCACTCGTAGGGCTGATTCTGTTATCCCCAGTAGTAGGATGAACATGAGAAAGATGGTTGTTAGAGGGAACCTGTAACTTAATGTGGGCTCTGAATTATGCAGGTACCGGCAGTTTTCAAATTTCCGAAGTTTTTATCTTTGAGCAGGGAAATCCACACACAGATCTGACTGGACGTTGAACTCAGAACCCACTAAATGAGAGTCCAGTGTTGTACCATGAGACTGCCAATTCCCCTTGTTCAGTATAATTGTGGTGAAGAAGAATATTACATTTTTGTAGGCAAATCCCTGAAGCAGTCACATTCCTGAAGTGGGTTTGCAGAATATTATTTGTGAACCACTGTATTATATAGATGTATTTATATTCCTGGTAGCTGTTTGTATGAAATTAACTTTGAACAAACTAAAGAATCTGTACGAGACAGTTGCCTTACCCAGGGCATGGTGATCTTGCTCAGAAATGCTGCCCGTGGATTTAATACTTTGTATCCTATGGTGTTCATAAGGTGTATGATCCGTCCTGGCACCATGCCAAATGCAGTTTGTGTTTTTAAGTACATATATTTTTAAAACGTTTTTTTAATTTTTTGAAGGCATATGTATGTAATTAGTATTTTTTACTTGTATGTTTGGAATTGTGAGGAATATCAATTATTTTTAAAAGTAAAATCTTTGAAATGTGTGGATCTGTTTATTTGCATGAGATAAGTCTTCTAGACATTTCACCTTGTCCTTGTCTATAAGACTGTTTCTGTTACAGACTTGATGGTTTTTAGGTCATGTAATTATTCTGTATCATCTGCAAAAGTTATTTGAGATAAAAAGGAGGGCACGGTGAACCAGAAGAGATTAGGCAGGAAATGTCTATGACCTGTTTCAAGTTCCTAACCCTGCAGAAGGGAAGAATGACTTAGGTACGTTTGGGCTTCAAAATCTTGCAGCTGCAACAGAAAATATAATTAAATGTTTATGATGTTACACCTCAGGGGGGAGGGGGTGAGAAATTATAATTACTTGGGCCTGTCGTTACTCATTTCCTAACATCGGCGCTACACTCGGCTGCCGTCGGCTGTCTTAGCTATGGTAGCTCGGGATCGGTCGAGGACAGGATGGTTACTGGCGGGTGAATCAGAACTCCCTGCGTACATTTTCTACTATGTACACTGTCTATTTACAATAATAATTACATGAAGAAAAAGGTTTGCTTTTGATCTGTCTATCATGACTCTTATCCTAAACTAATTCTACCGACCTTGGTTGTGGAGGGGAGGTGCCTTGAAACTGTGCTCCTATCATTGTCTGTCACTCTCCGTTCATTTCTACCCTGTTCTACCCTGGCTCTCACTTGGTACACTGGAGACTGCCTTATAATCACACAATAACACTTTTCTTAACAATAAC